CCTTGTGAGACTCGAATTCTGATCAAAAGCCTCAGTCTTTGCAATAAATGTAACCGGACTGGATTTTCGCCTTGACTTTTCTTTCAACGTTCTTGTGGTCGGTGATAGATTATTCTCCCCAGCTTTTGTTAACCGGCCATCATTCGATCTCATTAAAAAATCCGAATTCTGATCTAAAGACTCATCTTCGTAAAAGGTACCAGGACTGGATTTTCGTCTGGTCTTCTCTTGTGAACGTTTTGCTGTCGGTAACAGTCTATTTTGTTGTTCTTGATTTGCTTCAAATGTGTCAAGTGAAGAATCGTTTTCATATGAGTAGTCGTCGCCAAGCGAATTCCTACTTTGCTTTCTGATACGAGTTCTCCCGGGCGGTAAAATTGGTGACAAACTGTGCTTGGATTTGTCTTGTCTGTGCGCATAGTTTTCTTCTAAGTGATCTGAGCTCAATTTTCGCCTTGAATGTTTCAAGTCGTTTTCCTGCAAACTTCTGGACAAATTGTCTTTTGGTTTTCTTGATGTACTTGGCCTGAGAGAGCTGTTTTCCTCTAATCTACTTATACTGGGCGATTTTCTCCTTGACGACTTCACGTCATATTCTTGCAAGCTCTTTGACAATTTATCTTCTTGACCATCGTAACGAATTTCATCTACTGAACGAGAATCCTCCCTGGAGTTTCTCAAGTCATTCTCTTGCAGACTTTTTGTCAGGAGATTGGGTGAAGAATTTGGGGTAAGTTGTTGTGATACGAATTCTGAACCTTTTTTGTAAGTCACCAGAATATGATGTGTTCTGTACTTTAAATCGCCACCCAGGAAATCCGGTACATCGTTTATCTGTAGGAAATAAAACCAAAAATATTCACGAGAATCGTTCTCTAATGGGTAAATCCAGCTATTGACTAAATTTTGATCAAGGCAAGAAGAACAAAATCCAACACCACAGCTAGAAAGAGCGTCTTAGAATGAGTAAAGTTCTTGTACGATTTTGTATATAACCGCTCCAAATGCCCATCTACATTTACAAAGACCTCGAGCGAGCGAGATGTCCAGTGTCGCTATATTTACCCAGACTGAAACAGCTGTGTTGTCAAAGCACTCTATATATTGTTCAATATATTATCAACACGCTTACATAAGAAGCGAACAAAACTCTTATTGTCAGAAAGACCGCGGGAGTATATATATCATTCTGGCAAAGTCTGTACTGGTAACAAAGTACTTCAGCTTATACAGAAACTAAATTTTGGATAAAGAATCTCAATTTTAACTATAAGTTATACTGTGTTGTAGAAAGTCTTCATGAGTCTTACAATATAACCATTGAAATATACTTGTTGAAGAGTTTTATAGATGGAGTGTGAATTTTACCTTTACATTTTCCAGCTACAATACCTTTCGACATTACTTCAATGGAGTGAAATGCCCCAAATAATTCTGATATTGAAATATATTTCACTCTCACATAAACTTAAATGCAAAGTCTTGTGTGCTTGGTCGAACGGATGAGAATTGAGAAGCGAGGGTTTGCATGAGAGTTTTCTCAACTCTCGTGTCCCGGTCAAACGTGAACAAGAGTTGCACGAGAGTTGATGAGAGTTGAGAAGCGAAAGTTTGCATCAGAGGTTTCTCAACTCTCATGCCCTGGTCAAACGAGAACAAGAGTTGTATATATGAGAGTTGAGAAGCGAGAGTTTGCATGAAGGTTTTCACAACTCTCGCGTGCCTCGGTCAAACGTAAACAAGAGTTGCATCGGAGTTGATGAGAGTTGACTGGATATTACCGCGCGCTTATCTCTTATCAACTCTTATCAAAATTTGAACCAGTTCATGCAGAGTCAATGAGACTATGACTGAGAGTTGATGAGGGTGCATGAGAGTCGATGATCAAACGCAAGCGAGAGTTGCAACTCTCATCAATTCTTAATCCTAGTTTGACCGACTCGAGGATTGCTACAAAAAATTTGAGCAAGTCAGGGTCGCAGGCATAGCTCACTCACACTCAATGAGCGATCTGAGCTTCTCTTGAATGTCATATCAATGTTGTCTTTGAATAGCTGGAGGGTGAGCAGTCACCGAGTAAGGTATGACACTAGCCCTACAGCGATTCAAAAACAGCATTGACACTCAAGAAAAGCTCAGATAGAACCTCCACTCATTGAGTGTGAGCGAGCTTTCAGAATAAGGGCGTAAGACTATAAACATGCACTTACATATTCTGTCGAACCAGATGAGCGAATTTGCCTTGTCAAAATGAAAACTAATATATCACACAGACACATCGATGTTATACTTACAAGCTCAACAGACGTGATGTCCAGAATCCGAGTGACCTCTTGAATATCTTTGGCAACTTTCGGTGGATTTTCAGTAACGTACAGCCATTCATCAGCTAAAACTACAAACTTAAACTGCTTGTTGTATACGTCTGACAGTGCGACACACGGCTCGATGAGCCGAACTCCTGTATACCTCGAATGTGACAGAAATCTCTTCAAAAAGCTATCGACTTTTTCATACTTTTTCGTAAACACACATTCCATAACATGGAAACGACGAATTGAAAGTGTAGTGTTATTCTAAGGCATGTTGCTTTGTTATTTTCAATGGCAATGATGCTGTCCACCGAGGATAATACATTTAGCAATGCCTTGCCACATTAATTCTCGCTGTCAGAGACAGAGTCGTTTCATTGTAAACACAGCTATCAACTTTTTCGTATTTTTTCCCCGTGAACACACATTCCATACGGCATAACATACACGAATTCAAAGCATACTTTTCCTGTCTTGTTAATTTCACAGGTACATTATGCGTTTAGCTATTTCTACATGCAAATAATGTATTATTAATCCCGTCGTCAAAGACGCCTTCTGCGTATGCAACAATTACACACGACAAAAACAATGACTGACATGCTGATTTTCGATATTGTGTTGCCAAACTTTCAAAGCCGATATTGTACAAGGTTTAGACGGCTAATGTCCGTCAAATACGAAAAAGTTTAGCAGGGGCAACGTAGGGTCTTTGTGTAAGGAATATTGAAAATGCAATGTAAATATAATCTTAGGTTCGGTAAACTTGAGTCTTAATCAGTAAAATGAAAATCGAATGCAAATTATGTGGACTGTTTATACAATTACGGATTTGAATGAATAATATGTGGTTATGTGAAAGTTATGTTAATTAGGTAACCTCGTACCCAGGGCCTCTGCGCTAGTCGTAGTACTATTTTGGGAACGAAAATGAGTAAAATAAGTTATTTTACAGTTTTGATAGTACTTGCAAATATTTCCAGAATAAATGTGCTTCTTTCATGTGGAAAGGTTCCATATAGTTAAAATTAAATATAAACTAATGCCTGCCTCTTGTTCAAACCTTTCTTGTGAGTCTTTGTGAACGTCACTGATCAATTTACTTCTCTTTTGCCGAGAAAGCCCATCCAGACATGCATTTCGTTCCTATTTCTTTTCGGAAATCTAGAAACATTGCATGAAATTAACATTAGGCATTATTGTTTGTGGTTAAATTCATTCGAGAACTTAAACTAGAGTTTGCATAATTTGCATTTGCTCTCGTGCCCCGGTCAAACGAGAACAAGAGTTGCATGAGAGTTGATGAGGATTGAGAAGCGAGAGTTTACGTGAGAGTTTTCTCAACTCTCGTGCCCTGGTCAAACGAGAACAAGAGTTGCATGAGAGTTGATGAGAGTTGAGAAGCGAGAGTTTGCATGAGAGTTTTCTCAACTCTCATGCCCCGGTCAAACGAGAACAAGAATTGCATGAGAGTTGATGAGAGTTGAGAAGCGAGAGTTTGCATGAGAGTTTTCTCAACTCTCATGGCCTGGTCAAACGAGAACAAGAGTTGCATGAGAGTTGATGAGAGTTGAGAAGCGAGAGTTTGCATGAGAGTTTTCTCAACTCTCGTGCCTCGGTCAAACGAGAACAAGAGTTGCATGAGAGTTGATGAGAGTTGAGAAGCGAGAGTTTGCATGAGAATTTTCTCAACTCTCATGGCCTGGTCAAACGAGAACAAGAGTTGCATGAGAGTTGATGAGAGTTAAGAAAGCGAGAGTTTGCATAAGAGTTTTCTCAACTCTCATGGCCTGGTCAAACGAGAACAAGAGTTGCATGAGAGTTGATGAGAGTTGAGAAGCGAGAGTTTGCATAAGAGTTTTCTCAACTCTCATGGCCTGGTCAAACGAGAACAAGAGTTGCATGAGAGTTGATGAGAGTTGAGAAGCGAGAGTTTGCATAAGAGTTTTCTCAACTCTCATGGCCTGGTCAAACGAGAACAAGAGTTGCATGAGAGTTGATGAGAGTTGAGAAGCGAGAGTTTGCATAAGAGTTTTCTCAACTCTCATGGCCTGGTCAAACGAGAACAAGAGTTGCATGAGAGTTGATGAGAGTTGAGAAGCGAGAGTTTGCATAAGAGTTTTCTCAACTCTCATGGCCTGGTCAAACGAGAACAAGAGTTGCATGAGAGTTGATGAGAGTTGAGAAGCGAGAGTTTGCATAAGAGTTTTCTCAACTCTCATGGCCTGGTCAAACGAGAACAAGAGTTGCATGAGAGTTGATGAGAGTTGAGAAGCGAGAGTTTGCATAAGAGTTTTCTCAACTCTCATGGCCTGGTCAAACGAGAACAAGAGTTGCATGAGAGTTGATGAGAGTTGAGAAGCGAGAGTTTGCATAAGAGTTTTCTCAACTCTCATGGCCTGGTCAAACGAGAACAAGAGTTGCATGAGAGTTGATGAGAGTTGAGAAGCGAGAGTTTGCGTGAGAGTTTTCTCAACTCTCGTGTCCCGGTCAAACGAGAACAAGAGTTGCATGAGAGTTGATGAGAGTTGAGAAGCGAGAGTTTTCTCAACTCTCGTGTCCCGGTCAAACGAGAACAAGAGTTGCATGAGAGTTGATGAGAGTTGAGAAGCGAGAGTTTGCATCAGAGTTTTCTCAACTCTCGTGCCTCGGTCAAACGAGAACAAGAGTTGCATGAGAGTTGAGAAGCAAAAGTTTGCATGAGAGTTTTCTCAACTCTCGTGCCCCGGTCAAACGAAAACAAGAATTGCGCGAGAGACAGAGAGTAGATGAAAATTGCTCACTCATGTGAAAAGAGTCTGCTGAAAGTCGTGGGTTTTCTCCGGGTGCTCCGGATTCCTCCCACAGGGAAAGTTGACATGAGAGTGGGTTAGGATAAACCGGTTAAGAAAGTAATATCACAATTGTTGCAAAAGATAAAATAGTCCAGGCTAAGTATGTAATTAGGTAAGTGTTAAAGCCCATTTCCACTCAAGGAAATTTTCTACAGACAAAAAATTTTCCGAAAATATCATTGTTAAAAGTTGAAAATTTTCAACTTCAAAATTATTTTTCCAACGGAAAATTTGCGTCGGCCAATCAAATTTCACAAAATTTTCTTTCTGCGGAAAATTTTCCTGAGTGGAAATGGGCCATACGTAAAAAACGCGTATTTGATCATATCCGTGCACATGTAAATTATAGAAATCTGTATAGAAATCTTAATATTTAATAGGCAATTCCAGCTATATGTAGACTAAATTTTGATCTAGAAGAACAAAATCCATCACCACAGCTAGAAAGAGCATGTTAAAATTAGTAAAATTGCAAAGTTTGGCAGCGAATTGTTGTAAAATGAGGAAGATATGGCCCTGCAAAATTTGCAGATTTTGTATTAATTTGTATTACGTACGCGCGGGAAAATGCACACATTTGGGCCGAAAGTAGTCTGCAGAGCAGGCAGAAAGTGGTGCATTTTCCCATGCGTAATACAAATTAATACAAAATTTGCAATAACTTCGCAGGGCTATACCTTCCGCATTTTACAACACTTCGCAACCAAGCTTTGCAATTTTACTAACTTTAACATGCTCTTTCTAGCTGTGGTGATGGATTTTGTTCTTCTTGCCTAGATCAAAATTTAGTCTATATAGCTGGAATTGCCCATTCGATCTCGTCGTACCGTATATTTGCTCCACTTCTTCTCGGGATCGTAAGGCTCCCATCTGCTTGCGGGGAAAATGTGTTTGTTTCTCTCGTACCAGGTTCTTAAGCAGACTTTTCCTGCGTGAGACTAAAACAGAATATAAAGCCGGTTACCGGATGGATAGCGCTATCCAGAAATGATACAACCGACCCCAGGAAATCTTACTTCGTCTTTCTCAATAGTCGCATCATTAGTTAGTCTGATGTCTTCGTGAACATCAAAATTAAACAGCGGTCCGCTCTTGCCTCGAGCTTTGTTGACGATAAAATCGTAGAATGTGTAATGCTAGAATGATGGTACAAACAAGAATACCAGAGCTAAGTAAAGAACTACCAAATTGTGTGGTTAATTTCTGAAATAGGTGAAAGCTAGCTGTTCCAGTTTATCAACAGGTTACTGGGAGGTCAATAGTATAACCACTTATTTCTTAAAGAAGTGCTTTCGTTTGAAATGCCGTAATGATCCGGAATATATTTAATATTCTTCTCGTCAGACATCTCGTACCGACCATTCGTGCTTTTAAATTTGACAATTGTGTAAGATTTTTTACTGTAAGTATATACCTGTGGAATAATCAGGTCCTCTTTAACATACATTACTTGTTCTGTTGTTACTGGCCTAAAAAGATAAATTAAAAACGGAAATTGGGTTGCATGGCTATGGGAAGGAGGTTCTGTTAGCCTTTATATATAAAATTGGAAATTATTCTTACTTAAGTTCAGTGAAATCTTTTCTCAACTGTTCTAAACATTTTTGTAAGAATTGTTGGATAGAGTTGCCTTTCTTCATCTAAAGAAAAATTACAAAATGTTTTGCTGCTAACTGTAGCTGCCCAGCTCACAGACCTCTCTCATCAACACTTACTATGAGTTTGCGACGATGTCCAGAACCATCCCAGTAGCTGTACGTGATTTCAATTTCTTCCTCTGTTGACACAGAAAGTAAAATTGTTTATTGAATTTCTAACTTACTGGTGAGTGGATTTCCAAACAGGCTATTGCCCAATGGACCTTTCACCTTTTGACTAAAATTTAGATTTCAACAAGTCTAGACAAAAATTTTATCACAGCTTGAAAGAGCATCACAAAATTAGTAATATTCCGAAGTTTCGTTGCGAAATGTTGTAAAATGCGGATAATATAG